AAAATTATCGTGTATTTCAGTAATCTCATCATCCTCAGAAAGCAAAGTCACCAAATAAGTAGATGCTAGTGATGCATCTGTAACAACAGAGTATTTGGATAAAAAAGAGCCTCATTGACAAACTGTTTACAACGTAAAGTCATGGTAAGTTTCAGAATGTTTTGGTCATGAGGGGTAGATGCATTTATATGCTGCAGCTACAACTCATATACAGTATACATATGAGCCTCCAAAGTCCTGAGGACATTTTAAATTTCAGCTTTACACATATTTATAGTCCCTTCTCAAGTATATAGGAATACAGTTTATAGGAAACATAGAAATATCAAGAACTTTACATAACCTATTTCTAGTTCTTCTTAAATTTAAAATCATCATGTGATAAAACACACCCCATACTTTATAAGTATTGTTACATTTCTTAAAATAATCCATAAAGATAATATTCAAAGTGCTTATTTTTATGCTATGTATTTCTTATACTATGACTTCAGAGATTTATTCATAAAAGTTTAATAAAGAATTCATCTACCCTATAAAATGTTTTAAATAGCTGGGCATCAAGCTGGGTCTGGCGGCTCATGCCTGTAATCCTAGTACTTTTGGAGGTCAAGGCAGGTGGATCACCTGAGGTCAGGAGTTCAACATGGTGAAACCTCGTCTCTACTAAGAATACAAAAATTAGCCAGGTATGGTGGCAGGTACCTGTAATCCCAGCTACTCAGGAAGCTGAGGCAGGAGAATTGCTTGAACCCAGGAGGCAGAGGTTGCAGTGAGTGGAGATCATGCCACTGCACTCCAGCATGGGCTACAGAGCCACACTCCGTATCAAAACAAACAAAGAAAAAATAGCCAGGCACAGTGGTTCCCACCTGTAACCCCGGCACTTTGGGAGGCAGAGATGGGCTGATCATTTGAAGTCAGAAGTTCAAGACCAGCCTGTCCAACATGATGAAACCCTGTCTCTACTAAAAATACAAAAATTAGCTGGGCATGGTGGCCTGAGCCTGTAATCCCAGCTACTTGGGAGGCTGAGGCAGGAAAACCACTTGAACCCAAGAGGCAGAGGTTACAGTGAACTGAGATTGCTGCCACTGAACTCCAGCCTGGGTGACAGAGGGAGACTCTGTCTCAATAAAATAAAATAAATGTTTTAAATAAAATAAAATTCCAATCTGAGTTCTAAGCATACTCACTGTAAAGCAGATTCACAATTTTCTATTTCCTTGATGAAACTGGCAGATGTACATAGCAACAAGTGACGAACACTTGCAGTAATATTTAAAGGATTCAGTCACACTACCCTACTCCTCAGCTGTCAATTAAGATTAACGTCAGGCACTGAAGAGAACAGATTGCTTGGAGAATGTAGGTACTACAAAGAATTAACTTTACTAAGTGATTTCTTATTTGAAGATGAATAAAAACTCTCTCCATGTTTTCCTACATGACTTATGCCAGATCAATGATGTATATATAAAACAATTAGCATGTTTCCACTTCCATCTTTAAATATTTAGAAAAATAATCCTGGCCACATGATCTAAAGAGACAGAAACGGCCTTCTAACTGGAAGAAAATAATAAAGTAAAATAACATTCATCCTATCCAACTTATATCAAACCCACAACAGGCTATTGTCTCGTTCTGTCTTTAACAGTGTCTTTCATGAACTAAGGTGTACAGTGATACAACCATTCTGCGGGTCAAGATGGCCAGAGGCAGACCTATGTTATTTCTAGTTAAATAATTATAAGCTTGCTTTGCTTATTGTACACTTAAGTTTACACCCGAACTAAGCTATATCAAATATTGGTGCAGTAAAATAGAAATCAAGCGGCAACAGGAGGCCTAAGGTAAAGACCATCTGAGAGCACTGTAAAACGGTGGAACACCATGGAGCGGCTGCAAAGCAGGAAATACTGCTTTGGTCCCAGGAATGCCTTCTCAACATAGAGTTTGCATGAGAGTCTCATAAAGAGGGCTTAGGTAATCTCTGAGAAGGGAGGAGACCTCTGCTCACAAGATCCAGGAGGATCTTTGCAGATGGGAGCTTGCAAGGGGGAAAAGCCTTGCAGGGCAGAGGTTACCAGAATGCCACAGGCTCTGCCTAGGTTCTCAGAATACGGAGTAATCTTGATTGCTCTGTGTCTGCAATGCTCAGGAGATAAAAACTTGCTGGTGCCTAGTCCGCTAAACTTCTGATACAAATGCACCTTGGTGTTCCATGTTTGCGTAAGAATCATGTCCGCTACTGAATACTGCAGACCACACCTCTCCCCCTTGGCTATCTTGCCCACATTAGGTTCAAGGCCTCTCCCAATAGTTTTCAAGTCCTACCCTGTTCATCCCTCCCTGCTCCCCCACCCCTCAATTAACAAGTGTATATACCTAATAAAAGCACGTGGAGCCCAGAGCTCAGGGCCAAGCAGTTCACCCCACGAGATAGTGCATTGGACCCCTGGACCCATGCTGTGAACTTCTACTCTTGTGTCTTTGTCTTGATCTCCTTTTCTCACTCCCTCATAACTGCAGGGCCACAGCGCACCCATGCACATGGTTGGGCTGGGTCCAACACATTGGAGAGATGAAAAATACATGTATATATAGGTTGAGCATCCCCACCATGAAAATGTGAAATCTAAATGCTCCAAAATCTAAAACTTTGTGAGTGCTGACATGACACCATAAGTGGAAAAAAAGGCAGAGGTTGCAGTGAGCAGAGATCCACGTCACTGCACTCCAGCCTGGTGACAGAGTGAGACTCTATCTCAAAAAATAAAATAAAATAAAATAGAAATAAATAATGTATCTAAAATAAATATCCAGGAGCTCATATTGATATAAATAAATAACTGAATAAATAAGTATGTGAATAAATGAGGGAGAAAACCCAAATCCCCCTTACATAAGAATAATGGACATATATGTCCACCCTCCAGGAGACGAAACTTACTTTCCCTTCCCCTTTGAGTGTAGACTAAACTTAGTGACTTGCTTCCAAGGAGTAGAGTATGGAAAGCAAATTTAAAGTAGAGCAACCAGGCAAACACTATCTTGGCCAGGTGACCAAGGTTAACATCATTAGTGATAAATCATCTTGACAGCATATATTCCCTTGATATGATGTGACGAAAATAGAAGCTTACCTCTAGTCTTTCTGTCAGAATCCCATAACCCCAGTGTAATATGAGAAAAACACCACGCAAATTCCATTTGAAGGATATTCTACAGAATATCTGACCAGTACTCTTCAAAACTGCTAAGGTCATGAAAAACAAGGTAAGTCTGAGAAACTGTCACAGACAAGAAGAATCTGAAACATTACAGCTAAATGTGCTGTAGGATCCCAGATGGGATCCTACAGCAGAGAAGGGGCAACAGTAGAAAAACTACTAAAACATGAATAAAGTGTGGAGTTTTGTTTTTTTTTAACCACTTTGTTGAATTATGATTAACATGTAAAAAGCTGTACATGTTTAATGTATACAACTTGATGAGGTTGTGGCTAAGTATACACCCACTAAACCATTACCACCAAGGCCCTAGACATATCTGCAACTTCTCAAAGTTTCCTCCCACCCCTTTATTATCATTATTAATTTTGTGTGTATGTGTAACATAAACGCTTAAGATTGATCCCTGCCCATCCCCACCACCAAACCCCCTTCTAGTCTTGGCTTCTGTGAGTTTCACCATTTTTTTTTTTTTTTTTTTTTTGAGAGATGGTCTCACTCTGTCACCCAGGCTGGAGTGCAGTGACACCACCATGGTTCAATGAAGCTTTAAGCTCCTGGAATCAAGCAATTGTCACACCTCAACCTCCCAAGTAGCTGGGACTACAGGCATATGCCACCACATTCAGCTAATTTTTTAATTTTTTTGTAGAGACAAGGACTGGTTATGTTGCCCAGGCTAGTCTTGGACTCCTGGCCTCAAGCAATCCTGCCATCTCAGCTTACCAAAGCATTCATATTATAGGTGTGAGCCACCCATGCTAGGCAGAGTTTCACTATTTTAGATTCCATATATAAGTGAAATCATATAGTAGTTTCATTAATAACAAAGTATCAACGCTGGTTAATATGGTTTGGCTCTGTGTTCCTCAACCAAATCTCATGTCAAATTGTAATTCCCAGTGTTGAAGGAGGGGCCTGGTGGGAAGTGACTGAATCATGGCAGTGGATTTCCCCCTTGCTGTTCTTGCGACAGTGAATGTGTTCTCATGAGACCCTGTTGTTTAAAAGTGTGTGGTAGCTCCCCTGGCTCTCTGGCTTCACCATGGTAAGATGTGCTTACTTCCCCTTTGCCTTCCACCATAATAGTAAGTCTCCTGAGGCCTCCCACCATGTTTCCTGTACAGTGTGCAGAACAGAGTCAATTAAACCTCTTTTCTTCATAAATTACCCAGTCTCAGGTAGATGTTTACAGCAGTGTGAGAACAGACTATTACATTGGTTCATTAGTAGCAACAAATCTATGTACCATAGGAATATAAGATGTTAACAAAAGGAGAAACTGGATGCACAGTGTATAAGAACTCTGAATTGCATTTGCAGCTTTTCTATAAATTTAAAATTATTCTAAAATTTAAAAATCTTTTTTTAAAAAAAATCAATACACCTTAAAAATAAAGAGACAATAGTGAGGCATTGGAAGGGAAGGGAGTAACATTAACAGCAAGAGAGAGAGAGAATCCCATCCTCCAAAATATCAAACACAACTGAGAGTGCCCTGCTAAACTAGAAAAAATACTTTTAAACCTTTTAACAAGAGCCTTTTGCAGATACCCTATTAGTAAAAAATTAGAATCATTTGCTTCTATCATACTGTTCCTCCTGTAATTCTACCAAAAACAAAACAAATGAATCAAAAAATCCCTAAAATCCTTTGAAAGTTATTAAAGTCATCATAAAAAACCATAAGGAAAATATAAATGTCTCAGCCATAAATGTATAATAAACAAGTAGAATCTAAAGCATAATTCATAGAACACTTGCCTCTGGAGTTGCTAGTGCTTTCACAGCATTCAGATCAGATCCTGAACAGAAATTATTTTTTGCCCCACGGACAATGAGGCCTTTCCCCTCTGTCCAATTTTCCAATTCAATTACTTTTTCCAGAAGTTGTAGCATCATAACACCTGCCAGAGATGGGAGAGCATATGAAGGAGCATATGAAGCATATGAAGGCGACTGGAAAAATAGAAATTATTTATAAATCATTAGGTGTCAAGCGTATTCTTAGGTCCTATATTTTATAAATATTTACTGAATGTCTATCAAATGCCTATTGTGCTAGGAGTATGGAGTATACAGAAGAGGTATATACGGCAGGCCCTGCATTGTAAATTTAAATTTGTGATGTGTCTATCTCTCTATCTATCTTAAGAAATGACACAAATATATGATTAGGAAGAAGAATAAGAATGTACTAGCCCAGGCATGGTAGTTCATGCCTATACCCAGAGTTTTGGGAGGCTGAGGCAGGAGGATCACGAGGTCAGGAGATTGAGGCCATCCTGAACAACATGGTAAAACTCTGCCTCTACTACAAATACAAAAGTTAGTTGGGTGTGATGGCATATGTCTGTAATCCCAGCCTCTTGGGAGGCTGAGGCAGGAGAATTGCTTGAACCGGGAGTTGGAGGTTGTGGTAAGCCAAGATCACACCACTGCATTCCAGCCTGTAGACAGACTTTTGTCAAAAAAAACAAAAAGAATATAGCATGCTGTCCTAAGAATAAGAAAATGATGATACAGTAATAAGAAAAAATTATTTCTTAGGGTAAAGATAAAACATAGACCTTACTTTTCAGCAATACATCTCAGTCAGTAAAGCTTTATGGGTATAACATAACTATGAGATCTTATGATATACTGGACATATGGTATACAGAACAAAGTGTGATTCCTATGCTACTGACATCAGAATTAATATAATAAGGTATTAGTTCGGTAATGAGTAATAAATACCATCTTGTTCCATGGTTGACAAATTGTCCTCTAAGGAGCTTGAGGCATAACTAAGGAAGTTCTTCACAGGTCTACCAACCATTGATTCCATGACTTATAGATTGTTACCTTAGTATCATCCAAATTCTATTGCAGCTTCTTTATAACAGACAAATTTAAAATAGAAACAGCTGGGACTGGCATTTTAAGATCTAATCAATAACTTTTAGATATGCTTATCTTTGGTGATCTTCCAAGTTCATAAAATTCATTGTTTTCAACATGACTAATTTTTTTTTTTCTGCCTAGGAAATGCTTTAGAAGCTAATGTATAAAGATCATAATAGTGGGCTAAAACTGGCAAAAAAATTTGTAACACAAGTACACTTCTTTGGAATATAAATCCCACAATATCAAGAACTATTATTTTCTTTGCCACTTACTAAAGTAACGAGGAATGAGGTGGTTTCACAATAAATGTTATATTAATGGTATTAACTCACAAATGACTAATTTATGCTTTCTAATGGCTAATTATGACATACAGTCATGTACCAACAATGTATCACATATAACATGGTAGTTCCCTAAGATTATAATGGAGCTAAAAAATTCCTATTACCTAATCAGTAACAATCATAGCCATTGTAATGTGGTACAATGCATTATTCACATTTGTATTACAGTTGCCTATAGTATTCAGAAAGTAATGCACTAAATAGTTTTGTAGCCTAGTAGCAGCAAGCTATATCATATGGTACAGGTATGTAATAGTTTATACTATCTAAGTGTAAGTACACTGTACAATGTTCAGACAATGACAAAATCACCTAACATATTTCTTAGAATGTATCCCCATCACAAAGCAACAAATGACTGAATTTAAAACTGTAACCCTTTCCAAGGATGTCCTAGATGCTTTAGAAATATCATTCTTGCTCTCAAGTGATTTATGGTCTAGTAAGGGAAAAGAATAAACCCACACTTTTAGTAAAAAAATCAATCTGTATAGGTTAATATGAACCTTTAATCATTCGTAATATTTAAGCTTCTAAAAAACAATGCTGGCCTTTTTTTAAAAAAAAACCTTCCTTATGGTGCTGATTTTTCTTTGAACCTTTCTTAAGATGCTGAAATGCTGGCCATGAGAATAAGAAAAATTCATACCAGTAGTTACTGTTAAAATAATCTTTTTGACTTTGTAAAATAAATCTCAAAAGATGGAAGAGATCTTAAAGAGTATCTAACTGAATTTTTAAACAAGGGCCTAAGTGCTCATTCATCCTTTCCCAATCCAGCTTCACTAAATACCATTACCCAAATCAAAACAGGTTTGCTATTATTAGTTTTATATATGATGCATTAAAATAATACTTGATTCTGATTGAATAAAAAATTATTTGTAACTTTTCAGAAACAAATCATCCCTATTGATCTAATTTAACCCTCTAGAGAAACTTTACCCTTCAATTTCTATTTTTCCTACACTAACATGAAATTGGTTTTTATTCTCTAAATCAACTGAACATATGGAGCTACAAAGTCTAATAAGGTAGCTGTATGTATTGAACACTTGATATGTGGCCAGTCCAAATTGAGACATGTAGTTAAGTATAAAATAAATACCAGATTAATACACTTAGTATGAAAAGAAAAAGAAAAATACCTCATAATTGCTTATACTAGTGACACATTGAAAAAAATATTTTGGATATACTGAGTTAAAAGTGAATTGTTAAAAATAATTTTACCTGTTTTTTCATTTTTTAAAACTCTGGCTACTAGAATACTTAAAATTGCACATGTGGCTCACATTTGTTTTTGCATTATGCTTTCATTGGTCAGCAGTGGTATATAGAGAAATATCTCTGCATTCTGGTAAATGGAGAGTAAAGTCATCTTGGGTTTAAAGACTCACCACTGGTAATTTACAAAGTTTACAGACTATTCAATTATGTCTATAGTATGATTATATGTAAAGCAGACACATGAAAATTTTATAAGATTTTTCTAAGCCCCAAATTTCAAATGCTACTAGATAATCATGAAGTGCATGATTAAAAAGGAGAGATTACTAAAATCAACTTGAAAATGCGAGTGGTTTGCCTTCGTGTTCCGGGTGAATAAAAAACATAAAAGAAAAATTTTTTTAAATCAAAAAAACACACACAAAAAAAAAAGAAAAGAAAAATTGGGTGGTGAGTATTCAGCAAAGCTACTCATTAGCTCTTGTATAACATAGTGGTAGCATAATTCAAATCTGAGCCTCAGCAAAAATCACAAATTACCACCTGTCCTGCATCTTCAGTTCCCTGTGTTGACTAACAAATAAAAGGCACTCACCAGTATCTAAGAGTTAGGGAGGAGTCCACAGCTAGACAAGTGCTGTGTTTCTTCTGTCAACAATGGAATTAAAAGGTTAAAAACTAACAATGATTTTATCTAAATTCACAGAAAAAAATTAGCCTAAATAATTCTTTTCATTCACAGGCTTTTCCCTTTAATTTCAGGAACTCTTTGAAATGTCCTTCTCCTTATTCCCTACTAGCATAAGCTGAAAACAAATGAAGTTATTAAAAAGTTAATGAATTTCAATGGAAAATATAATCAAGATTTAGGTTTCCTTTTTATCAACATCTGTATTAATGAGTTTTCTGAAAACTTTCAAATATCCATAATTATTAAAAAATTATTTAAAGTGTTTCTAGTTCATATTATAGAGTTGTTTCTTTTATTGTTATTTTTCTCATGTTCTACCAAAAGTACCAGGACTTTAAAACATACTGTCACCAGAGCAAGGATAAAAAACTTGAGATAACAGGTTAGATTTAGCATGATTCTTTAGGAATGAAAAGATTCTTAATACCTGAGAAGGCATTCATTTTACTTGGATTGTTCAGAGTAAGAATACCAATGCCACTGTCTTCCTTCTGAAGGTCAACAGTTCCACCAGGAAACTGCTGAAGTTTTTTTTTCACTTCTTCCTCATAAAATCCATGGGATGTATTATAAAGTGACAATCCTGTTTGATGTAGCAATTTTGTCCTTACAGACAGAGGCGATGTCTTCAAAAGACTTGTTGCCATTTCTGGAAAAGAGAAATAAGTATGCAATAGCACAGATGAATAGGCACTCACTTTTCTAATATTATGTGTTAATAGGCTGTAGTAATGGACACTTCAGGTGAATTGTGAATACTTCCCTATTTCTTTCCTTTTCTTTTTGTTTTTTTTTGAGACGTAGTTTCACCCCGTTGCCCGGGCTGGAGTACAGTGGGGCAAATTCGGCTCACTGCAACCTCTGCCTCCCGGCTTCAAATGATTCTCGTACCTCAGCCTCCCAATTAGCTGGGATTACAGAGGCCCGTCACCACACATAGTTAGTTTTTGTATTTTTAGCATAGGCGAGGTTTCACCATGTTGGCCAGGCTGGTCTCAAACTCCTGACTACAAATGATCCACCCACCTCGGCCTCCCAAAGTGATAGGATTATAGATGTAAGCCGTGGCACCTGGCCGCTTCCCCATTTTTAAAAGCACTGTTTCAGGAAATAATCAGTATGAAATTCCTTACATTTTTCCCTCCTTCTCAAACCAAATAATTCACAAAGCATATCATTTCAGTATGTACCAGTGAGAGACAATAGAATAATTACAGTATAGTTAACCCTGCTCCAATACAATAGGAAGGCTTAGAAAAAATACTGCTCTGTATTTTGCACCATCTCCTGCCTCCAAGTAGTATTTTGTCTCAGATTCGTCTTTATTCTTCAACCCTTAACTTTTTCAAAATCTAAAAGTAACTATAGTCCACGTATCCCCTTGGAAACAGCCTCTATGCAGAAATACTACAAGAACAATCCCACTCTCTTAACAGAAATTTTATTCTTGGCATTATTCTTACCTTCTGCAAAGCCTTCAGGCAAAAAGCTGGAAAGGGTCCTAAGAAAAATGGGACAGGATATAGGAACATGTGTGTGGTTACTGTGTTCCCCAAAGTTCTCTGTCACTCTTCTCTTACTTTATACCTCCTGAGTAATCTCATCTCTGCCCATAAGCTTTTCTTGCCCTATATAAACATTCTTGTTGATTCAATGAATTTTCACAAGGTGAATACATACTAGTAAATGGCACCCAAATCAAGAAACAGAACATAACCTAAACCTCACAAGGTCCTATGTGTCACCTTTCAAAATCCCTCCGGTAAGGGTAACTTTTTGATTTCTAATACACGAGATTACTTTTGAACTTTATATAAATTGAATACTATATATTTTGTGTCTGGTTTCAATTTTAACATCCATTAGTGTTATATGTAATCAGAGTCTAAATAGTCCATTATTCTCATTGCTGTACTCTATTTGTGAAACCAAAATACTTGAGACAGGACTCAACCAATTCAGAAAGTTTATTTTGCTGAGGTTAAGGACATGCCCAAGACACAGACTCAAGAGGTCCTAATGACACGTGCCCAAGGTGGTCAGGATATGACTTGCTTTTATACACTTTAGGGAGACATGAGACATCAATAAGTATGTGTTTAGATGTACACCGGTTCTGACGGAGGTACGGCAGGACAACGCTATAAACTTCCAGGGGTGGGGGAAGGTGGATGTAGGGGAGGTCCTTCCAGGCCATAGGTAGATAATAGACAAAAGGTTGCATTCTTTTGAATACCTGATCAGCCTCCTACTGAATACACAATTTAGTCTGACTCAGTGAATCTGCATTTTTACATAAACAATGGGGCAGAGAAAGTAATCAAATGTGCATTATTTTTCTGCGGGGGTGGGCATGAACCACTGCACCCAGCCACTGCACCCAGCCAATTAAACATTTAAGTATTTTGCAAGTTGGTTCTTTAAACTATTGGTAGGTTGAAATTGACCATGGTGGAACTACAGAACATATCAATCATGCTCACTCGCGTGCTCTTTCACTCTCTCTCTCTCTCTCTCTCACACACACACACACACACACACACACACACACACACACACGGGTCTGCCCGTACACCACCAGTTACAATGTATGCATTTGTTCAACCTTAGAAGATACTGTGTGCCAGGCGCGGTGGCTCATGCCTATAATCCCAGCACTTTGGGAGGCCAAGGCGGGTGGATCACAAGGTCAAGAGGTCGAGATCATCCTGATCAACATGGTGAAACCTCGTCTCTACTAAAAATACAAAAAGTAGCTGGGCATGGTGGCTAGCGCCTGTAGTCCCAGCTACTGGGGAGGCTGAGGCATGAGAATTGCTTGAACCCAGGAGGGGGAGGTTGCAGTGAGCCGAGATCACGCCATTGCACTCCACCCTGGGTAGCAAGAGCGAAACTCTGTCTTGAAAAAAAAAAAGGAAGATAATGTCAGAGTGTTTCAAAATGGCTGTACAAATGTGTATTCCCACAGGCATTGAATGCTCCAGTTGCTCCACAAGCTCATCATTTGTTCTTTGTTTTTTCTATTTTATGCATTCTAGTGGATGGTATCTTATTGTGGTTTCATTTTGTATTTCTTTAACATCTAACAAAGATAAACCCCATTTTCTTATGCTTATTGGTCATTTGCATATAATATTTTGTGATGTTCCTGTGCAAGCTTTTGGCCCATTATTTCTATTTATTTACCTTTTAATTAATTTGTTAGAGATCTTTTATTCTCCTGCTCACAATTATCCTAAAACCTACATGACACGAATCCCACATTTTTATCTCCAATTCGACCCTATGCCTGTACTCCTAACTCATAGTATTACCTAACAGAAATGCAATTCCCTTACCCCTCGTTTCTAGATATATCACAGGCTTCTCAAAATCTTTTTTTTTTTTTTTTTTTTTTTTTTTTTTTTGAGACAGGGTCTGGCCATGTTGCCCAGGCTGGAGTGCAGTGGCTATTCACAGGCGTGATCAGCGCAGCAGTTTTGACCTGCTCCATTTCCAACCTGGGCCGGTTCACCCCTCCTTAGGCAACCTGGTGGCCCCCAGCTCCCGGTAGGTCACCATATTGATGCTGAACTTAATGCAGTCACCGGACTGGCACAGCACACTCTAGCCCAGAAATCCTGGACTCAAGAGATCCTCCAGCCTCAGCCTCCTGAATAGCTGGGACTACAGGCAGGCACCACTGGGCCCAGCTCAAAATCATTATCTAACCCTGAATTCATACTTCACCTGAAACCCATTACTCCTTCTTAATTCTTTCCCTCAACTATTCATTGTATCATCAACCCTGTAATCTATGCCAAAAAACCTGTGGACAACCTAATCTCCTTCTCTTCCCCCACCTCCTGTATGCAACAGACTCCAAAATGGTTTCTTCTTTCTTATCTTTTCCCCTCCTACTACTAATATAGTCCAAACTTCATTACCTATAATCTGGATTAATACAGCAGTCACCAATTAATTGCATACTATTCCTTAAAGTAATGTAGATATATTTATAATCCAATCAGGATACTTTAAATTGACGTTTTTAGGTAGCTCTCTTCCAAAAGAATCAAGTCCAAAGCTCTTTCTAAATTCTTAACTTAATCCTGAACCTCTTCTCTTCTGACATCACAACACAATCAACACGGGACACCAAATAACCAGAGTCCCACAAATTTACCATGCTATTTTAAATTATCCCTTCTTCCCTATAATGTTCTTTCCTCCCTCATTAACCTGGTAAATCCACCATTGTTTTTAAAAACTGAGTTTCTGTATTTCTACCTAAAAGTGATCCCCAAGTAAAGATAATCACTCCCTTTACTTATCCCAGCTCATACTGCAATAATAATGTTCCATTTTAACACATCCCTCAAATCATTTTTCATTTGTTTTTCTCAGTAGAAGGATGCTTCCTGAGAGTATTCTTAGGTGTATACTTCGTGTCACTAATGGCTACAGTACTCAATATATAAAAGGTACTTAGTAATGAGGGAAAATGTAGGCAAGTAAAAAAATAACTCATCAGGCAGCCAAAATGAACTCCACAAACTTGTTTTATAGCTTTAAAAATGTATCTGTGAGTTATAAAATGATATCAGAATCAGTGAACAAACCTCATAAAGGTTACAGTACAATATCCCTTTCCACTTTAAATGCCTTGGCCTTCAAGTGACATTTTTATTAAAGTGTTTCAGGTGAATACTTACCTGAACATACAGTAGGATGTAATCCCCTCAAACAGATATATTTCAAAAACTTGTGAAGAGTATTTCAAAACTTTACCAACTAAGGTGGCTTATAACTACAATATTAAAGACACCAAGATGTTTCTTAAATCTCCTCAAGGAGACTGAAGTGTTAATTCATAAACTGTGACCTAATACACTACATTAGAGTTTAGCAAAAAGACGATTATTATCTTCAAAAATGATACCTAAGAATCAAAATTTTATGTTACTTTTCCAAGAAAAAGAGGTGTTCTAACTTGCCATCATAAGTCTTTGTTGGGACCTGCTTTTAACTATCATAACTTTATTATTTCCTTTAATGCCAAATTCCTCCTGGTCTTTGTATCCTCCCTCCCTCCCCTCAAAAAAGTCACCAGTTGCCAGCAGCTAGGGTTACCGAATAAATAATGAAAGCACTGGGTGGTCACCCATCACTTAATGAACTGTGATTAACAAGGTTTGGGTCAATTTGATGTATAGAACCAATAAGCAAGGAAAGTGACCAAATGTTACAAGTTGCAAAATACCTAAATATTTAGTATTTTCAATACTGCTAGATACAGTGATCCTCAAGTTTCTCTTCAAAGAATTAGTATGTCAGTATGTTCAGCTCTCTTATTCTTTAATTCTCCATTTTTAAGTTTAACTTCCTTGTAGTTTCAGAAAACCACCTTTTCCACCAGTTCTAATCAGTAGTTCACATCTGTTCCCCCAGTCCCCTGCTCTATCCTGACTCATCCTGGTCACTTGCTCCGGTCACCTGCTTTGACCCCTGGCTACCTGCTCTGACCTGCCTGCAATCATTCTTCCTGCCAAACTACCCACCCCCACTACTCTGGCTCATACGCCTGCTCCCTTTAAAATAGCCAATTGGAATTAGACTGTGTGGTCTAACTCTAGCCAATAGGGGAATGACACAGCAGTAGGAGCAACC